GGATCTTTCACCTGTCAAACCTCCTGGAGATGCCACAGCAGGGGGAGAGTGTGATGCAGAACTCAGGGTTGATGATGAGCCAGCAATAGAAGATGGTGATGGTGAAGGTGTTGAGCAGGAATACCTCGAAGCTCCACCTCAGCTCAGGAGATCAAGTCGAGTGATCCAACCTTCTACGAGATACCCTAGTTCCACGTATATTACCATCACTGAAGAAGAGGAACCAGAAAGCTTTGAAGAAGTACAGACTCATAAGGATAAATCCCAGTGGATGAAAGCTATACAAGAAGAAATGGATTCACTGGTGAAAAATGAAACTTATGAGCTTGTGAAGCTTCCAGAAGGCAGGAAAGCCTTGAAAAACAAATGGGTGTTCAAGCTTAAGAAAGATGGTGACAAGCTGTTGAAGTACAAAGCTCGCTTGGTTGTGAAAGGATTTGGACAAAAGCGAGGAATAGATTTTGATGAGATATTCTCTCCGGTTGTGAAGATGAGCTCTATTCGATTAGTACTCGGATTGGTGGCTAGCTTGGATCTGGAGCTTGAACAACTAGATGTGAAGACTGCGTTTCTTCATGGAGACCTAGATGAAGAAATCTACATGGAGCAACCAGAAGGATTTGAGAAGACTGGAAAGGAGCACATGGTTTGCAGATTGAAGAAGAGCTTGTATGGACTGAAACAAGCTCCAAGGCAGTGGTATAAGAAGTTTGACTCGTTCATGGCGAACTATGGATATACCAAGACTGATGCAGATCATTGTGTGTTCGTTAAGAAATTTCCAGGTGATAAGTTCATTATCCTTTTGTTATATGTAGATGATATGTTGATAGTGGGACAGGATATGAAGGTGATTGGTGATCTGAAGAAGGAATTAGCAAAGTCCTTTGAGATGAAAGACTTGGGCCCTGCGAAACAAATTCTGGGCATGCAGATCATGCGAGACCGAAAATCCAAGATGTTATGGTTATCGCAAGAACGATATGTGAATCGAATTCTGGAGAGATTCAACATGAAAGCTGCTAAGCCAGTTAATACGCCGTTGGCCAATCACTTCAAACTCAGTAAACGAAGTTGTCCTACGAGTCAAAAAGAAAAAGAAGCTATGACAGGTGTTCCATACTCCTCAGCAGTCGGGAGTTTGATGTATGCCATGGTCTGTACCAGACCGGATATCGCTCACGCGGTTGGAGTTGTTAGCAGGTATCTTTCCAATCCTGGGAAGGATCATTGGGAAGCTGTGAAGTGGATCTTGAGGTACCTAAAAGGCAGTGCAAATAAGTCCTTGAGCTTTGGAAGAGGAAACCCAGTTCTTGAAGGTTATACAGATGCGGATATGGCAGGTAACCTGGATAGTAGAAAATCTACTTCAGGGTTTGTGTTTACATTTGCAGGGGGAGCTGCATCTTGGCAATCTAAATTGCAGAAATCTGTTGCCTTGTCGACTACTGAAGCAGAGT